TATCTTATATAGCTAAAATTACTATTATAAATAGTTTAACAGTTTTAAATACCTGAAGCTGAATAGAGTGATATCCTTTTCGGTTGATGTAATCTGCTCCGTTTTCTTTAGGTGCTTCTATTTGTATATAGTTGAGTGAAATTAGATTTTAGCTTCGGAAAAAGTCTCCGATCAAAAATTTTTTTTGGTAGTTATTAAGGAAGGTGTGTACAACAACATATCAATTTGTGCCAGCGTGAAAGTGTCTGCTACATTTTTTATTTAACAATTAAGGTGCCAAAATATGGTTTTTTGCATATAACTTTTTAAATTCAATTTTTATCAAAAAACTAATTGCGCCATTCGAAAGAGCAGGAAATTTCACGTAAGAAACCCATATTACATTTGTTTATTAAATTTATACTGACGAACCAGCAATTTATTAACTAACGCTCCTATTCACGTTGCGTCGACCATCCGCTGTGCTCGACAGTCAGTTCGCTTGAGCGCGCGCGCCGCACAGAAATGGCTGTAACTTTTTACAGACAACAAAAAATGACATGGGCCAAATTGGGTGTTCAAAAAGGATGTTTTTTTGGTAGTATTATATCATTGAAATATTTTTTTAGTATTGTGAACATTATATATATCAGCTTGAATATACGTGTTTCAAGAATATAAGGTTATTTCGTTAAATTCGATGGAATGTAAGAAAAAGTACGCCAAAAAAATTAGTACCTATGCGGATATTACATTTAAAGGTATGATCTAAAATACGTGTTTTTGCAAAAAAAGTACAAAAATTTTTTTTCACAAAATCTAGGCCTTCAAAGTTGGTTAATATTCAAAAATTCAATTTTTATACTTTACGTCTCCCTCTTTGATCGTCTGTAAAACAGTTTAAAAAAATGATATCGACAATTTGTAGGTAGTCATTTTAAAGCTTATGATGTGTGCTTTAAGATAGTATAGTTTATTTTGGAATAATAGATGTCTTTTGCACTTTTTTTTAAAGAAATAACACAGGAATATAATTGTAGCCAAAAAATAATGAAAATTGGAGCATAAAGAAATGAAGTTTAATGAAAAAAAAATTTTTTTTAACACTTTCAGTGCATGGAGGTGGTTATTAAGATATAAATCTTGACGAATTGAAATGAAAAAAATTTTTTTTTATTTCTGAATCATTGTGACATAAAAAAAAACGTAAATTCGGCGAAATTACGTGTTTTTTCGGTATATAACTGAGCATTTCAGAAGTATATAACTGAGCATTTCAGTGTAAGCTGATCTGATAGGTGAATGTAAAGGTTGTATGCTATTGGTGGACATAGTGAGAAGGGAGAAGGCCGTCTGTGAAATTTCGGTAATCTATGGTGAAAGGCGATGCAGAGGAACTTGAATGCGTACGTTAGTCCCGGTAGTCTATGTGCACCTGGCTGCGTTGAAGGTACGTAAAGGAATTGTCCGTAGTATTTCGTGACAGTTTTCCATTATTATATTGTTGTCATAAAATATTACAACATTAATATTTTTATAATCGAATATCAATTTTTCATGGTAATTTTTTTCAAAAATTTGAAAATAACAAGACTTTGCACAAAATGGCAGACATATTTTACAAGAAAAACAGCAGTAGTAAAGATATTTTTGACGCTGGTGAGCAGTGCACATTGATTTTATATGGAGCGTCAAAGTCGGACAACGATCTCAACAAATATAGATACAAATGTTTTGTCAGAGGCGTCTCTAAACGGCGCAAAATGTCTCTCGCGTTTTTACCGCCTACGGATGACTCAGCTCGACAACATTTCAAACGAGTATATCTCCAAGTACAGCAATGGTTAGGACAAGGCGAAAGTTTCTCTGCAAATGACTGGGGATGGATTCAAAAAGATTTTTTACATCCCATTTCAATGACGAAGTCTCCAGCCCCTGAAAAACTATTAAGAAATTTATTTTGCAGTTGTAAAAGCGGCTGCGAGAATAACTGCGGATGTAAAAAAACAGGTTTATACTGCAGCACTGCCTGCTTAACTTGCAGTGGCGTGGACTGCCTGAACGCACCTCCAATTGAAGACATCATCGAAACTGACACAGTAGGCGATGTTCAAGACTCAGAAGAGACCGATTCATAAACATATTTCTTATATTAAACAACATTATATGAATTTATTATGTTTATACTTTTTCATTAAAACGGTCCTTATCAGACAAACCATCTTCATTTTTCTTTCATTTGACCTTAAATTGTTCAGTCGTCGTTAAGTTCGTCGTTAAGTCGTCGTTAAGTCGTCGTTAAGTTCGTCGTCATTTTATATTTCTTAAATGTAATATAAATTTGGTTATTGCAATATCCAGAAACCCTTGAAAAATAATTTTTTTCGGTTTATTTTACAATATTTCACATTTTCATCGGCCATATTGACTCCGCCATTTTGAATTTTTTAAATCTGACATCAAATTCGTGTTCAGCATACCCGAGAATCCCCAGGAAACAATTTTCATAATTTTTCATCATATTATAATCGAGATATTTCATTTTACTACTAATTTTCCAGTTATTTGTTACTTTAAACTATTCAGGTTAAAAAATCTGTCACATCGATGGAACAGAGGAACATATATGAACACGTAAATGAGGGTAGAATAAATATTTATTTCACAAATTCTATGCTGTAAAACACATTTTCCGGTGTAAGAATACAAATTATTTTCTATTCTAGTAGTTTATTTCAATATTATCTTATAAAATTTGTAATAACAACTTTTATTGCAATATTCTTTCGTACGCAGGTTTAGAAAGTGTCTGCAATGCAGTAGAAAGCGTGTGTATATATATATATTAGTAAAACTAATGATATGTATCATTTGTATAAAAGATTTGATATCAACAATTGTGGCGCCAAGTTAAATTCTGTTAATGTTTTTACTAAATCTAATGATATATGTATAATGGCTTTATTCCCCTTCAAAAATTATTACATGAAATCACAAAATTTACTAAATCTAATGATATATGTATCATCTGTATAAAAGATTGGATATCAACAATTGTGGCGCCAAGTTAAATTCTGTTAATGTTTTTACTAAATCGTAAAAAGATTTGATGCCAACAATTGCTGCTAAGTTAAATTCTAAAACTTACTTTTTTAAAAAAAGGTAAAAAAAGCCCTAAGCGTGCATGTTTCACGTGTAGAACCACCATTTGGGCCGGTTTCACCAATGCCAATTACTTAATCGGCCGTGAAACTGATGA